CTCTTTTGGATATCCCACAAATACGCATTTATCAGATTTAGCCTCAAACTTATCTGATTCATTTCGCTTTACATAATTGCTAGATTCAGTAATAAACATGATTAAATCAACTTTTAATTTAATCAATATGTAATTTAAATCCTAACAAATACAAAGTTGGCTCTGATACCACTATTGGGAATTTACTTAAACATGCACAGCAGAAATAAAAATAATTTCAATTCCCACCAGGATTCATTTTTGTATTTAGATAAGAACTGTGATGAGAATTATATCTTTTCTTGAATTTGCAAACTCTTTTGCGTTATCTCTATTCCAGCAACTCGAATTTGCCTCCCACAGTTGTCTAATTGTCCAGCCTCCAATAAAATCCACTCAGAGAATAGACTGCAACTGTGAGAGTTTCTCCTCTTGTGCTAGCAAGAATTATGAAAACTCTATGGATCTAAAACCCTAGCAATGTATTTATATAAGTCCAAACAGGCTCGGCTTGGTCCGGTCCAATATTTAATTAATCCATTTAATTAAATTCGGTCCGTGAATTAATTAATTTGAGGTTATAAATAACCAATCCAATTAATTAATTTATCCAACGATTGTTAAATTAATTAATTGGCAATTTGCAACCTTTCAATTCTCTTTTGTGTGCGACCCATTAGGTTCCTGACCACGATACCTAACGGCGTGAAAATATTATTTTGATCTAATCAAAAAATGATAAATTAAACACCCTTTTAATTTATCATAAATCCACACTCGCCGTCCCAAATTGACATCTAGCAATGTATCAGGGCAACACATGTGACGGAAAATGTCACATGGTATGACAAAATCAAAACTGTTCGTTTACCATGAAACTATAATCCCTTTGTCAATATGATCCGATCAATTACGAGATATGGAAGTGTATCAATATCGATTATCGATCATATCTTGCATTCTACTATTAAGTCAGTATGAGTCGAAAACTCCTTTTCGACTTATGTGTATACCTTGGCCAAGGATTTCGTTATTGACTTAATTGAACGAAATGCAGATCACGATCTCTTACTATCTAAGAGTGATGAATCCTCTATTGGTCATTCACAACCTTCATATGGTTCTTGACATACCCGAACGATGCCGTATTAGCGGCCCTTGGTAGAGCAACATCCAACACTGTCAAAGTATGACTGTCCTCATACAAGGCATTATGATGACCTTAAATCATAGGACCAACTCCACTGCCGAACATTAGAGATTAACCACTGACACTCAGATAGTTATCCATGTGGAATCTCTTAGCGGGTCTCCAATATTTTATTCTATAACAAAACATCAACTTGTTAATTTAAGTGTCACCACACTTTAACTTGTGAGATCAGTTACTTACTTCATAAGTAAGAAATGTCACACGTGATGGTCTATCTATAGTAACAATATCCGTATCTCATTATTAATTACGACCACAGATTATTCAAGATCCAATCATACGTAATTGGTATCTCATAATCACAACTCCTTGTAATTAACAAATGACTTAAACTTGGATCTTCGGACTCTATTATTTAATATTATTTATCACAATATTAATTTAAATAAATAATAGATCTTACCAAAATTAAATACATTAAACATATTAAAAGTATATACAACCTAAATCGGTTGGATTTAGGACATAACACTTTGACGCCGGGTAGGATAGTGATTATCCTATTGGCTTGTTGTAGCAGATGATTCGCAAGAAAAGAACGACAGAAAATGCCCAAAAAAATAGAGAAAATACTCTGAATTCAACTCAATATTTTTAATAATGTAGAATGCTGAAAACTAACCCACAAGCCGGGTTAAATAGCTGCGAAATACGAAATTATGGAAAAATTACCAAAAATGGCAAAATCCCAAAATTATACCAAAATAAAATATTAAGTAAAAGAAGTAAGTTGCCAAAAATTTGGCTCAATTCGAGTTTTCTAACATATAGAAAAAAGGAAACGAAATATTACCATAAATAGTAAAAAATAACTTAAAATTGAATTTTGGAAAGGAAAACAGTGGATTTTTGGCTTGAAATTGACGTCCACCAAGCAAAGCTGGGTGGCCACGACGTGCGCGCCGAAGAGAGCTTTCCGGATTGGGGTCATAATAGCGATTCCGATAACCGTAGCCAAAGTTATGGCCAAATTACCAAAGACGCGTCAAATTCCCTCAATTAAGGAAATAATGGTGATTCACTTTCCATCTTTGCGCCGATCCGTCATCTCATGGTATCTCAGCGCTATCATCGTGCTATCTGACAAATCAGCATCACTCGACTCGGATCCTCCTGCATCACACTTACACTTGCAACATATGAATGTGCTCGTGCGCATTTAAGATGCATTTTGAAACATCCAACGTTATGTTGGAAATATGTTGTTCAGAAATAAATAGATATGTATGAAATGGAATGAGCAAAACAAAATGGAAACCCAAATTTTGGTCTCGAATTACTATTTTTGGTTTCTTCTCCAACCCCGATGTTGATTAATTTTCCAACACGTTAATGATAATGTTTGTAAATGAGAAATTATAATGGGTGGGTACTTGGCGGTGGGAAGAAGGTATATAAAAAAGAGTATAACATGTGAATGAGCTGAAAACTGCCATTTTCCTTGGTTAAGCTGACGAACCTAGTGCGTGCTGCTTTGCCTTTCCTTTAACGTAACCGTGATGTAATGCCGCCTTTTGAGTTGTGGCTTGTTTAGGAGTCCACCAATGAGGAGAGTGTCTCACCGATCGATTCGAGCACTTTTTTTAACCACAAGTCATGATTCATCGCTCGTAAACTTGCCATGAACGTTTCACGTAGCACGTTCATGTTGCATCTGGAACTGGATGAACCTAAAGTTGTTAGGGATTTGCATCTTCGTTGTATCATTTGTATAGAGAATGTCAATTTTTTTATTATTTCTATGGCCAAATGTTTCAAACTAAAAATTTAATTATTAACAATTCATTGAATTAATGTAACATTTTACCCGAGGCGGCCCCAAGTCAATAACTTGATAAGTTTTCTACTGACTAAGCTAATAAAATAAATTACAAAAAGAAGGGTAAAACAACCACTGATTTCATGACCATCTTGGTGACCCAAATTCCAATCACATTAACTTATGATCCCAAAGCAAAAGTAGCAACTTTTTCTTCCCTGAGCTTCCAAGTCAAAGGCTCTTAAGTGACCCGTCAATAAATACTCTTATTGTTCCATTTATATAGGTCGACTTTTAAGTTCACTATGTGCTGGTTTAGTAGGGATTTTGATGATTAATTTTTGACCATTAGAGATAATGTAAATCCTACCTGTGAGAGAAGAATTTAAAAATGACGACTGAAATAGTAAAATAACGGTAAAAAAACTGATTTTAATTGGATTAAAATTCCAAACAAACAAGCTCATAATCATGTTTCTCTTTGAGAATGTTTAGCTTAGTTTATTTACTAATATGCCCTTTTTATTTAATCTTGAAATTGTACAAATATAAATAATGGTAAAATTTAAAAAAAAAATTTGACAGAAATTGTTTTTTCAATAACATTAAATAATATTTTTTAATTCGTGTGAAAAAAGAAAATCAACATATATAAATGGAAAAGATGGAGTAGTATTTAATTAACATATTTTATAGGCTAGCTATTTAGAAAATTAATGTGTCTTTTGTTTTGTTTCTTATTCAAATCCAATGAATGGTGTAGTCAGACCAAATCACTATCTACTAATTATTCATTAATTAATTAAAGGGTGTAATTGATTTGTTAATTAATTTCACCAATACGTGTCAATTTTCACAAAGCAACAAAAAATAGCAGCAGTTCCCAGGTGCGGCGTTCGGCGCAAAAATTATTTTATAAAGTGATTGAAACAAACTCATTTTCAACAAAGGACAAATTTTATGTATGTTATTTCATTAAAAGAGGCTGCTATCATTCTTTAGTTCACCCCTTCAGTTTTGCCCATATGAACTTGTCTAGCATGACATAGCCAATAGTTGTATGCTAAAAATTTGATTTCTTAAATTCAATAAATTTGAGATCAGTTATGTGAATTTTTAGCTTTATTTTAGAATGATCTAAAATAATTAGGGTATGTTTGGTATCCATATTGCCATTGACCGTTTGTGCTCGTCAGTGGAACTCAACTTTGCAAAAATTATTGATTGCAGTGGGATCAAATTACCAAATTGTCATTATTTACATTAGAATGAATTTATGTGTAGGGGCAAATTGGTAATTTTACGTCATTCAGCCAAAAAGTTTTCTGCCCCTCCCTAACACACTCATTGTGTAACGTACATAATTTGTCTAAAAATTGGATATAGAATGGACATCAAATATAGGCTTGGATTCTTAACAATTATTGTAAGTTTCATGATGTAGAGTATTTTCACTATTTTGTCAAAATAATTGTAACTTACGACGGAGGTGCAATTCATCCAACAGAAATACTTCAATATGCACACAAACATGAAACATCCACCCTTGATACCAACTCACATAGGATGTTGTCATCATTTTATCCAAAAAGTTATAGCTCATGGTGTAAATGCAATTCACTTATACCATCCAGAATTAAGTCCATGAATTCACTTCGAGCTCACTCCCTTTTGACAGACCGTGTTTGAAGCACGCTTATGCATTATATGTTAATTTCGATCACCAATTTTCCTTATGACTTGTTCTACTGAAATCATATCTCTCATGGACTCGAGATAGAGATTCATGTCATAAAATTTGATAAAGGTTTACGGCGATGGTCGACCTACAACAATCCTACTATGTTCAAGTGGTGATGATCTTGAATCAATTATGGTTTAATATTTTAATATTAAAGTAATTCCCAATTTGGTCTATAGGCCTTGAACCATTAAAGAAGCACAACCACATTGCATAACCCATTTGTAAATGTTTCCTTAGAACCGTACACACATACCTTTCATGTCCCCTCTTCAGACCCTTTATAAGAACAAGAAACCCCACTTCACCCCCTACCCCATATTCATTTCTCTTCATATCTGCACCATTTTCTAGTGTGCCCGTGTGCTTGTATTGTTTTAAAACTTCAAATCTTGTTTTATCTCTCCATATATTCTGTCATACATATATGGCAACTGGTACTGGTACTGGTACTGGTACTGGCACTCCTTGTGGTGCATGCAAGTTTCTCCGTCGCAAGTGCGCGGCTGATTGCATCTTTGCCCCTTACTTTTGCTCCGAGCAAGGACCGGCAAGATTCGCAGCCATTCACAAGGTATTTGGTGCCAGTAATGTGTCCAAATTGTTGCTGCACATTCCTGTGGCTGATAGATGTGAGGCTGTTGTTACTATTGCTTATGAAGCTCAAGCCCGGATTCGAGATCCCGTTTATGGTTGTGTCTCTCATATTTTTGCCTTACAACAACAGGTAATTCATTTTCCTCTCTATCTTTTGTGCACGGATGTGTGAAAAACATGTCCCTTCGTGTGCAGACTGAATTTATTTTAACCAAAAACTCGAAAAGTTTAGCCTTTTTTGGTCTTGAAATTTTGGTAGGTGGCATATTTGCAAGCTCAACTGATGCAAGTGAAGGCTCAGCTAGCTCAGAACCTAATTGAATCAAGGAATCAAGAAAATCAATGGCCAGGCTGCAACATTAATGGTGGAATGGCATCATCATTTCAAAATTTTCCGACAAATTACATGAATTCTTCTTCAATCTCACCTCAGAGCTCACTTGACTCAATTGATCATCATCACGGAAATATCAGCATGCAAGATTTTGAAAGCATCAGAGATGAAGTCACACTCCAACCCTATTGTAGCAAGAAAAGACATTCACAGACTGACTTGAGTGAGCTTCAAGCACTGGCTCTCAGAATGATGAAACACTGATGTTTTATTTTGATGTTAACTGTTGAAATCATTTTATTAATGATTGTATATATGGATATTATGACAAGTTTATTTTAGTATAATATGTTATGAAGCCTAAATAGGTATTTTCCCTCTTAATTCAGATTATAATTCATCTTATCAGCTGAGAATTAAGGTACAGATCATTCTCTTTCTCTCTGTTGATTTCTCTTTATTGGTCTTTCTTTATGTATACTTCTAACAAATAGTCATTGTTTCATCGAAAAATGGTTGTCCAGAAACTTTTTCAAGACACAATTTTTCTTGGCTGAAAGTGAAATTTAGTTTAGTACATACTAACTTGTGATAATCTAGATTTGATAGTGAAAAAAAAAAAAAATTGGGGCACCCGACTTGACATTTTGGAGTGGAAACCTTGGTAGTTGAGTTGAGTTGACTTAGTCATCCATGGGCATTTTTCAAATTAATAATTAACTAAGAGTTGAATAAAATATGTAATGGTAAGTACGTTTAAATTAGTAAAATTTACATGCATTATTGAAGTTTGAACCCTCCTCTGTCGTATATGGAAAAGAAAAGTGACACATACGACACGTGAAGTGAAGATTAATAAGAAAGCGATCAAGAATCAAGAAACCCACAAATAATCGAACCTAGACCAATAATAGAGTAAACGTTCTCACAGTTTTACTCAACTTTAATAAAAAAATAACTTATCTTTTAACAATGAATGAAAAGAGAAAAGTTTAAATACCATGAAAACCCTACAAAAAGCAAAAGACCAAGGCCCCGTTCGGTAGGGATTTGGAGAATTGATTTTCTGATCGTTAAAAGAAAATTGGGGTCCATCTGTGAAAGAAAAAGTCAAAAATTACAATTCGAGTAGTGAAATAACGGTCAAAAAATCAATTTTTTGGAATAAAAAATCATTCCCAAATAGGCTGCGAGTTGTCCCTAAAATAAGACAGAAATAATAATAACAAAATATCAAGATAATTAGACGGATCACCTATAGGTCGGCCATCCTAAGGTGCTGAGCCATGCCTCTTCAACTCGTTTGATGCACGGTCCTATTTGTCCAGAAAGATCAATGTTGGTTTCATCCCCATCATTCTCCTCAGGGTTAAGATGATTTTCTCTCGAATCAAAATTGGTTTCATCCCCATTAAAAAGAATTTTTATTAACATTCTAAAACCATGTCCTAACAAAATTTAGTCAGAGAACAATTTCTTCTGTGTTTTATTTAGCTTTAAATGACGCATTTTAATTCACGGTTATTAAAATTTGAGGTTACGTTTTAAAAAGTCAAACTTGTTAAAATGAGTAGTATACTGGTATCAATCCTTATATGTTGGTCTATATTTCTATATTTAACAAATGCAGATTATCTCTTAATACGCTCCCACAAAATGGTAACTCGTTTGAATAGACCGATTTTAAAATTTGTATGCTTGAGTTTAATTGAATCCGATTGCTCATTTATGCTTATTGAACTTTGATACCATATTAATACTTATAATTCCTTCTTAAAATTTCAACTTTGTTAAGAAAAATAACTCAAACTTTTAATATATATATTGGTATTTAATTAAGGTAGATTTTATTCTTGACAATGGTTGGTGTATTTATTAATTAAAATTGAATAGAATTAAGCATGAGTATTATATAAAATGTTTACTCATTTTTTGTTTCTATTCGAGCTCAATAAAAAGTATCGAGCATGTTATTGGTCTTGTTAATGAATATGGATGATGCAATATTAATAATATTTTTTGTAGGTTTGCAGAATTAGAAAGATATTTCCAAGTCCAATGAATAATTTTTCCCAGACACACGTGAGGTATCCTAGCAATTATTTTGCCTAGGAAAGCTATATCCATAAAGCATTTAATTGCCTATTAAGTTAGGAACCAAAATTTGAAAATTACAGGAAAAGGTTAATGCTATCATTTTTGTTGAAGCAAACACACGTTGAGATGAATTAAATATAATTATGGGCCCAATTGCTTAGGGTTTATGTTCTATAAAGTAGGTTTACCAAATGGCATATTATATGACTAATATATACAATTTTAACATTATGATTAATATGAACTTTGTACTCAAATAAACAGACCAAATGTTTCTTGATTGAGAGCACTTTTGTAGAGTAATTTAGTTGAATGGGAAAGATTACCAACTTAATCGAGTAAATTCTGTGATTGAATTAAGTGATTGTGAATTTAGGTGACGAAATAAACTAAAATAAAATGATTGATCTACATTTAGCTACATGATTGCAATTGTTTAAATCTGAATTGATTGGGTATCAATCAGGGGCGGAGCCAGGATTTTAGTTCGGCGCGGGCAAAATTTTTTCGACGTTGAATGTCGAGGTTTTGGTCATGGATGTAATGACGCTAAAAAAATAAAATAATAGTACGATAATATTAAAAACGACATAATTTATATATTTCACTTGTTCCTTGCGAGTTTTAATACTCTGTGCAAACCGGAACTGCGATACTGCAGTAGGGACGAATTCTCTCACTCACATAGAAAAGGTTTGATTGATTCAAATGAATGAATGTGTTTGGGTCAATTGAATTTTGAGGGAATAGGTCTAATAAAGTTTCTCTCTCTGAGGTGGACATCGAATATTGGAAAAAGACTATGGATATTCACTATTATTGATATCTGAAACTTTAGATGTGGGTTTAAAAAATAATAATAATAATAAAATCTGTCCAAAAGTCTAGTGCTCCGCCCATGGTATCAATAACAGTAGTCCCATCCTCAGAGGAAATTTTTTTGAATGTGTTAATAACTTATAGACTTAAAAAATTTAAGTACGAAAAAAAAATCCCGAAAATCATAAAGAGTAGAAGTCCCTATTAAAATATTTTAATCAAGAATACGAAATTAATTATGTTGGGATACGAAGCCAATTTCTAGATTCACTTTGAGAAATATAAAAAATAACAAAGAATTAAAAATAATAAAAATAAAAATAAAAAATGCAGAAAAGCTTGTATACTTGAAAATTTTCAAAATATGATCAAAAAAATAAAAAATCATGGCCTTAAAAAACTAAACAAATTCAACAAGTAGTTTTCGTATTTTAATGCAATGTTCCTTTTGCTACTATATCCATGAGTTTAAACCAATTTTGATGCAATATTTCTCTTGCAACATATGCGGGTATCTAATTGGAACTTAAATTATAAAATTCCATTGCCACCCACACGATCCAGCTCGATTCGATTCATTGCCATCTCTAATGTGTTTACATAAACCTTAATTTTCTTCTTCTCCTCGACTGTGTTTGATTTAACTATAATTCCATTATAATTTAAAAGTGAAATTTAAAATTTGATTTTAACTAAAAATTTCGTACGATCCAAAATTATTATTTATATATATTCAACACTCATTTTTATCAATTTATAATTTGAGCATCTTATTACTTCCCCCAATAAATAAATTCCTTGCATGCAAATTGAGGCACAGGCCTCGAGGTTTTGTGGTAACATCTTCCCTCTTGTAAATTCAAGTTTCCATTTAGCGCTCTGGAATAGCAAAACTTTCACACGATTCCGGAAGAATCTTATAAAAGGTATTATGAGAGATGTCATGTGTATAAATTCTATACGTTTATAAAAGAAAATGAACGCACGATATAAGAAATAAATTTTGCATTGCTCTATTGTGTTGGCTTCTTTATGTAAATTTTTTGGGCCCGTGTTTGCGATCTCAAGGGACTCTCTACAAAGCTCATTGCGAGGTTCAATTTTTTTTGTTAATTTTTTTTTTTTTTAATTTGAGGCTTGGTGGTTTGATCGTGTTTGGTGTATGTTTATTGTGACATGAGCTCATAAGCTTTCGTCTTGTTTATTTGTTGTTTTAGAGCATGTTTGGTATAGCTTAAAATCCAATTAAAATCAAATTTTTGATCATTATTTTCACTATTTCAACCGCTATTTTTGAATAATTCTCTCGCAGGTAGAACTTCTTTATTTCTAACGGTCAAGAAATCAACTAACAAAATTCATACCAAACAAGCACTTAATTTGGGACTTACACCATACCAAATATTTAGCCAATTTCGAGGAGTAATATTTTCAAGTTAGGAAATCAAAAATAGTGTTGGCTAGGACTAATGGTACTTAGCAATGACCCCACATCCCACAATTGATGATAAATTGTGTTTTTTACTATTATTTTAACCAAGTATAGAAAGTGAATTTATCGTCACATAGATGAATAACAATCGCGTTACATAACATCACTCATGTAAATCAAAGTTAACAAATGAACCTACGCATAGGTAAGTTACCCCTCCCATCAATATACATGGGGATGGGAGCAAATTTACTTTAATTTAATTAAAGTGTGGTTTTTACTTTAATTTAATTAAAGTGTGGTGTACTTGGAGCCCATGAACGAAAGCGGCAGGCAATGACTTTGAAACCTAATTTCGGCGTTAAACAATTAGAAAAGATAAAAAGGTTTCAATAAATGATGTTATTCTGTTTACTTAATTAATCAATCACTTGTATTCTTTGCTCTGTTAATTGAACTTGAAAAGCTATTCATTCGATTGAACAATTGAAACATTTATTTAATTGTGCTATTTTGAATTCAAGTTGAAAATGCAAAAGCTGTCATGAAAAAGTTGAACAATGGATCAAAAGAAAAGAGAGAGAGAGAGAGAGAGAGAGAGAGAGGCAGAGCTCAAATAAACAATTTTATAGTTATTATTTCTTTAAAAATACGATGGGAAATAAATCCTTTTATGCCCTACTTGAGAGAGTTTTTGGACGAAAACTCACGTTCCAAAAGCACTAAAACCTTTTTCCTAAATAATGATTTCTCTTGGAATGTTCGTCGGCTTCATTTCCATATGCAAGAAAAAAAAAAAAAAAAAAAAAAAAAGGGGGG